TTAGTAAAAAGAAAAATCTATACCTCTTCTTCTTACATAGGACTATTAGCTACGACATGGTTAAAGTTTACATGGAAATGGATAGATGAAGCTGCAATTGACTTGCTTTTGTCCGCGGCCTCATTCGCACGATTTGTTTGTGTATAACTCCGCTTTTAAAAACTGAAAGCTTATACCTTCACCACTGTTATACTAAAATATAAAGCTAAAAAGTTTGTTTGTTTGTCTGCACGTACTAATCTCTGGAACTACAGATTAACTGTGTAACTTTGATAAAAGAACCTCAATAACGTTCAAACTTATTGGATTACGGTCGAATTTCTACAATAAAACTTTATAAAGAACGATAGATAGTTTATATTATAGTAATAATTAACAGTCTTTTGTCAATTTAAAAAGAAAAAGAAATTAAGTTTCATTTCAATCAGAAAACCCCGAAGATACAGGTTTAGCTCTCAGTTTTACATGCTCTTAAACAAAACAATTTTCATGTATATAAATATACTAGCATTTCACGCGTAGTTTATTTGTATGTAATCAGAATGTCTGCAGCAGCAAAACTATAAGAGTGACATACAAATTTACAAGATCTGTTCTTAGCGGACGTCTTTTACCTATAAACTAACAAATTGCCAAGCTTTAACTTCATAGGTCAAGTAGCTTTCGAAATTTCGTATTCAGTAAGCGAATGAATGACTTTTTCCTTTTATACAATACATACTTACCGAGTTACCCTCGCTTCGTTCGGGTGCTCCCCTAGGTACGTACACAAGTTGACAAAAGACTGTTAAATTAAAATATATATATATATATATATATATATATATATATATATATATATATATATATATATATATATATATATATAGAGTTGTTACAGTTTAAGGGGTCTTTTTAAGAGAAATAATTCCGTAATACATAATTTTCCTATACATAACTTTATTGGTTTACGCACGCCAGTAAAACTCCCAGTCGGAATTTTTTCTGACATCTTCAACAATTGATGAATTTCACTCTCTCCATTGCCGTCCATTGGAGAAAATCGTATGAAAATCCTTTCGGCAGTTTTTGAGTTTATCGCATTCAAACAGACTGACGCGATGGGGGGACTTCGTTTTATTATTTGTAGTGATACATAGAAAAATAGCAAATAATAATTTATTTTTGACGGTATTCTAAATCATATTAAATGTATTCATCCAATAATTAAAATATACTTTTCTCCAAATTATACCTATTTATTTAAAAAACATGAAAATCAAATTCATTGGCGAGAGTAATTATTTTATATACATAAATAATAAAACTTATACCTAAAGCATCTTCTTCTATTTAAAGTAACTTAAAAAGTAAATTTGTATTGATATAATACAGTAATACATAAGTTATGTACGTGTTATTTTTGGAATTATTTAGGTGCCGGCGTCTATGGGGACAAGATATGTACATATATGCCACTGTCAAAGGGATAAATTTATTTTCCCCTTTGAATATAAATTGTGAATATATCTCAGTTACCATAAAATAGAAAGGACATAATTTTGCAGATATTTTCAGAATTCAATTTCCGCAAGTTGGTTGAAAGGTTTATTATATAAATCGTTACCGAAGATTTCGAAATGTTAAATAAAATTTATTCATCGAATAATCCGTGAGATGCGTAATTTTCTTTTCTGAGGCTTGTTAGTTACTTGAGGCCTTTTAGTTTCTGAGGTTTTGCAAAGAGTTTTATAATGTACCTATTTATAAATTATTCAACCGATCGACTTAAATAAAAATACGTGTAATTTGGACAAAATTTATAGGAAATAATAACCAAAAAGTGTGCGAAAAATATAAATATTAATTACGTCGACCTCAGCCACGATAAATCAACGGCGGTGTGCCCCGATACAGCCCCACCTGATTTTTATGCTAGCTTTTGTCCGAGACTCCGTTCGTGTAGTATATTATGTATAATTTATCTTTTAATAGCGTGATAACAATAAAGAATCTTACTAAACAAAACTTTCAATGTAAAATTCCGGTGTCTGCGTGTTCGAATTACTTAAGAATTAAATTAATTAAGAATTACGTATTCTTTTCCACCTATACGGCTTGACCGAATTTGATGCATTATGTACTAATATGATCACCTGCATGATTGTTATCTTTGATTGGACCTAGTAGGTGGCGCTGCTAACCAAATCCAGTTTTATTTATGATTTTCCGACAAACAAACAAAGTAACAAAACTCTCAATCTATCAATCAAAGTACTATTCAATTAAGATATAATGAAATGATTCAGTTAGCATGTTATTATCAAATCTTGTTACTTAAATTTTAGGCTAATCTTAATGTATAAAATTCTCATGTGACGATGTTGCTCCACGATGAACTCTGAAACTACTTATCGGATCTTTACGTTTTTTTTAAATGTGTGATTTGTTACAACTTAAAAGATAGGATAGTTTTTAACCCAATTAATTCCTTTATAGCAAAATAATCGATTTTATATTCAGAGATGGTTCGGGAGAGAGAACCAGATAAATTAATTATTAATATTAACTTACGAAGTTGGCCACAACAAAGCGTGGCCGGGTCTGCTAATACTAGTATATATATATTAGTATACACTGTATTGCTTATATTTAGTGATGTATAAATTAGTATAAACTGTATTGTAACCAAAAAAATCAGCGAATGCGATTGCGATGTTAACTTTTAATTATATTCTCACCTAATGGAAAGTTCTTACGATTTCAACTATATAATATACTAGCGAGTAACGACTCACCCCCGCTTCTCTCGGGTTCGTCCCTAGATTGATCCCCCATACAAACTTTCATCCCCGTTTTCACCCCTTAAGGGACGATTTCCGGGATAAAAAGTCTCATACTATCTTCCTACCAAATTTCATCTGAAACGGTTCAGTAGATCCTAAGATTATCCCCTTCAACCTCACAAACTCACAAACTTTACCTCTTTATAATATTAGAAGCTATAGATAAATGAGAATCATCCGAATGCGCTAAAAATGAAAAAGGTAGAATATTTTTCTTTTCATATAGTCTACACACATACCTTTATATGGTGCTTTAACTTTCGCGCTGATGTGAGAAAAAATCCATTTATCGTGGGATGCATGCAATGAAACTTTTTATAAGGTTTGCGGGTTATGTATAGTGTATTTGTCCGAGATGAATGGAGTCGAGGCTTTTACGCTAGCTCAGATGTAATTAGAGCGCCTCCGCTTCTCTGCATAAGTGGTTTGCAGCGTGTTATTTTGTTGTTTTACTACCTATAACGAATGTGTCCCAAAATTTTCATCGTTTTATAGTAGGTAAAATTTAATTTTATGAAATTAATTATGAATTAATTATACTTAAATTCGTGATCTATTCAATAACATTGAATTCAAAGTTTTACAAAAATAACTTTATTGACCTATTTTCTCAATTAAACGTTATAATTTAACTACTATTACAAATCCTCTCAGACATGCTGCATGAGATTTCCTCATAATGTTTTCTTCATTCATGCTGAAAATGATTCACACATAGAATGTCACCGGTGCGATATCCGGAATTGAATACGTTTTACTTTGATATTTAAGTGTTCGGTGCTGCTTTAAAAGCACAATCTGTGCCTAATAATGAGGGTATTTCTCCGAGATTGCGTTCTTCATCTGATTTAACTGGCCAAAAATTATTTTCACTTTTGGCTCTATTCAACATACTCTTCTGATTAAAGATAGGCCAAATAACATATATTTGAATTACGCACTCATTTTAATCAAATAAGTTTTGAGATATTTAACTTGAATTTTTTAGGGCCCATATGAATCAAAATTCGTGTCAGAGAATAAAATTGATATTTAAATATCATAATAACTGATTTTTTACTATTGTATACTAAACCATGACTTTTAATATATTTTTTACAAATAGAAAGGAGCCTCTGCAAACATCTAATTGATGGACTGAGCAGCACCTTATCATCAGCATAGCTATGGCTATTTGCACTGCACCCGTCCATGTGACATCCTATCGCTGTGTCGCAGTCGCGGTGTCGTTATGCTTGGGACCTGATCTTAATGATGATTATATGATAACTTAAACAAAATGTACCACTTTATGATTCATATGGGTTTTGACCACATGAATCAGACCCAGATAAATCAGAATTTTACCTAAAATCTTCGATTACCCGTAACATATATTTACATCGGTATTCGCATTTAACCACAAAAATCTATAACTCAAACATATTTTGGGGGCATAGATTCAAGTTTCAAAACTCTGTAACATAATTTGTAAACTAGACATATTAATCAGAAACCCACCTGATTCAAGAACATATGAATCAAATACTTATTCTTGTATCTCTTGATCGACGCTGACCTGGCCGAACGTCTACATTCGGGCCCATTCGTTGCACAGCAGACTACTCACTTTTGTATTTCGCTGAGTACAATCGAGTGAAGTGCGCGCCATATTAATCAGAATTTTATGCCGGACATCTTTTATTTCTTTATTTATAATAAGTAAACTAACGTAGATATGACTAACTTTTTTTTGTTAAAAGATAACTAATCTTCTTTCGATGTGATTATAATTTATATTGTTTTTTAAATAAAATAACGCGTTATTTATAATTTTGTTCAGAAAAATGGGAAACGGACACGTCATATGAATCAGAAGAACGAGTTACGAATGATTTTTTTTATATATTTAGAATGCAATTATTATACAAACGGAATTGGTCCAAGTTAGATAATAGTCTAAGGTGCATTAAAAAATATATTTCAGACCATTTTATTAGCTAGTTACGGAGAAAAACCTCCAGAAATCGAAAATTTAAGGCGCTGAGAAATACCCATAAACACTATGTATTTTTTAACGACTCTGTATCTAGGTAGATAGTATCAGGTGATAGTATTTAAAAAAATATATATCTTGAAAAATGTATATCTAAAAATTACAATTAAATTAACTTTGAGTCATATGCTTTGTTTCAGACTGTGGAAGATTTAGAAGCCCACTGTAAGAAATCTGGCATAGAAATAGTAACACGGCAGTCGTTTCTATCAGACCCTAGTGATGCTGTAAGAAATTTAAGAAGGCAGGATGCTAGGGTCATTGTCGGCTTGTTCTATGTGGTGGCGGCCAGGCGAGTGTTGTGCGAAGTATACAAACATAAGCTGTATGGAAAATCTTACGTTTGGTTTTTTATTGGTAAGTGCTATCAATTATTTTAGCTATTTTATGCACTTTTGTATGAAAAGATAGTGAAAAGATAGAAAGAACTCTTACTATTGCGGTTTTTGTTATATTTTTAAAACTATTAATAATAAGTTAAAGTCAAAAATTCTCATGTTTTTAAGTATTTACTATTTATTATTAAAACAAATGAAAAACTTATAATATTTTTACGATATGAATCGGGATATTTAAGATGTTTATCCTTTTCTTTTTCGCGTTTTCGATATTTTGCCAGTATTACCAACGCCGTGAATCGGTTACACGCGTACAAATAATATCAGTGACTTATCTTTTATTATTTATAATATTTTAGTAGTATATGGATATTGCTTTTAACGGTAAAAACCTAAATTGGAATAAAATGAATGAATTTTTCGTACAATAAATTTCAACTAATGAAATGCAATAATTTTGATCTGTTTATAAATATATAATTATTTACAATATAATTATTGTTGGAAAAAAGAGAATAAATAAAAATAAAAATCTTCATAATATATATTATTATATATTTGCTTTTTATTAGGTTTTTTCAAATATGACTCTTTAGACGACACGATTGGCTCAGTTTGCAGTGACCCTACTTGCTGTACCAGCGGTCGCGGGTTCGAGTCCCGCTGGGGGCATTCATTTGTGTGATGAGCACGAATGTTTGTACTCCAGTCGTGGGTGTTTATATTTATAATATGTATGTATTTAAAGTTATATATGTGTAGTGTATCAACTATCTGGTATGCATAACACAAGCCTCGTAGCTTACCATGGAACTAGATGGTGCTGTGTGTTAGTGTCCCAACAACTTTTAAGATCTACTTAGTACCTATCTAAAGTATAAAACCTTTTTTTAATTTGCAAAACGCCATTTCCCTATATTCTATTTTCCACGGTGAAAACTGATTTTATATCGTCATGTAGCAAATAACATCGCGGTATTACGTTTCCCGCGAGACTGAAGGCGAAACTGGCTAATGCTTTTATATTAGATGTCATGTCATATAAAATTTAGCTCGGAGACAAGTTTGTTTTTATTCAAATATTGCGAGGATAACAGTTATAATAAAGATAAAATAAGGCACATTACATCATAAAAGCCTTAAGTCATTCACTAGGGAGATATAAAACATTGAGCAATTCTGTTAAAAGCAACTAATAAGTTGTATAAATAATTGTATTTTTAATCCCCGACGCAAAAAGATAGGTATGTGGTATGGTAAGTTTGGCTGCTATGTGTGTCTGTAACACCGTAACTCTTTAACGGGTGGACCGATTTGGATGCGGTTTTTTTTATATGAAAGCAGGTTTTCTAACGGTGGTTCGTTCGGTGGTATGTTTTATCAAAATTGGTTTAGCCGTTTCAAGCTCTTTTTTCATCTATGTCGGGGGTTTTTAAAATTTTTAATCTATCAGTCTCACGCAGTTGCGTAACTGAGCTAAGAAAGGAATGAAACGGAAGTCAGAACTGTTTTTAATATTTTTTTACGGTAGGCGTTTTTATGGTGGGCATTTAGAGACTTGATAAATTTAAATACATTTTTTTTACTAAAAGAACAGTGTTGCTTTTTTATTAGTGAAGTAGATGTAAAGAAACTGTAAGCTGTACTTAAATATTATTTATTTGTCTATACATATAGTGGGTTCATTTAAAGTGACAGTGTACAAATGATTGGTGGTATGGTGAGCCACAGAGTAATATAAGCTAGTTTTTATCACTAAGATAAATATTAAAGGGATCTCGGGATATATTAATGTACTAAACAAAGTAGTTATGAAACACGGAGTATAATTATTAAGCTCTAAGCTAAGTAAGAGCTTAGTCCAGTGACCATGTTTTAATTTAAACATAAAGACCGAAAAACTTATTATAAAATTACTAACAATGATCTATATACATATAATAAAATTGTAACTAAGCCGAATCTGTACATTAAATATTTTTTCAAAAATCTTATTTAAAAAACATAATTATCGATACAGAGGCCGAATCTATAGTTTTTAGAATTGTTCTCTATCTGTCTGTCTGTCTGTTACCACATCACAGAAAAAACACTGGAGGGATTTTGACGAAATTTGGTATGGCGATAGCTGATTATCCGGGTCAACATATAGGACACAATGTAAGATTGTATTAATATGTAAAACCTATGAATTTGGTTTTTGGTCGCCTGAACGCGGGCGGAGCCGCGGCCAATGCTAGTTATAAAAAAAAAAAACAAAAAAATATAATAATTATCTTTCATATTTTAGCTATATTAATTTTTAGTCTTAGATAATATGGAAGACTCATTATGCTTAGAAATAATTATAATTATTTCTAAACGATTTTTATTATTTTATGAGCTCACTTTTTTATTTAACATTTTATACATTTTGCATCACAATAAGTAAAACTTATTATTATGACTGATACAATAAATAGCTATTTTACTTATCATAATAACACAAAGGTAATATTTTTCCTACTACCTCTCTCTCCCTAACACCCTACAGTATCAGCTAACAATAACACTGCCGGCATAATGAAAAGGGGCACATCTGATAAAATATTAAAAACGATTAAAAAATAATAATTAGTGTTTGAGATTATTCATCATATGCCATGTTCAGATAAACTTAATTAAAATTTTGGTTTTAATTTATAGGATCTGTTTATTGTTTTTATTTAATTTTATAAATAAAATATTTGAATATCTTTCTCGTTTATTATATTAAACGAAATCTGGTAAAATTAAACGATTGAAAAGTTGTATCAATTGATTGACTTTTGATCGTGACACTTTAAAGTTCACTACATCTATTTATAACAAGAACACATGCTATTTACTGTTTACGATATTATGTACATTGTACGTATTATACATATTTAGACAAAAATGTTTGATATGCCTCTTTTGCTGCGGACTGCAGAATAGTCCTCTAGTACCGTAGTCAGATAATAATGCAGCAACTACATATTTCTTCTGAAGTGGCACATAAAAATAAAATAATGAGATAATTTAATTAAAACTCTTATATCTTCTTGAAATATCGACGCTTAGCCGCTGTTTAACGAGATAACATTCTGACGCACTCACCAGTACTTGTATACGGCGAACATAATAGAGTTGCGGGTTCAATGCTCGTGCGTAAGAAATATCTATTGCAATAAATAATTTTGTATGCAAAATATGTACAATTGTATATACGAGTACATATTATTTTTTTATTTATTTTATATACAATAATATAAAATAAGTAAAAATGTAGTATTAAATATATTTTTTCATTAATTCTTTTATAATTTAAATTTTTCCGTATATAATAATACCAATACGGAAAAAAATCTGATTAATTTCCCAATCTTAGGACATTTCGAAACTAAAAAAGCTCCTCCCGTTCGTAAAAAGCTAAAATTGGTGTAAGATGGCACAAAATTTTTTCAGTCAATATAATATCGTACGCAAGGAAAAGCTAGTAATAGAATAGAGGTACCTAGGTAATTTAGTTTCACTATCTGGTTAAATAATCTTTTAGTTTATATCATAGGTTGTGTCGTTAAATCGTCAACTATCGTGCAACGGTATCCTTGCACACGCAAGGCCGCGTAAAATCAATAAAGAATTATGACTGGCATATTTCATATCTGTTTATAATGAAAATTTATGTAGATTACGCAGACAATAATGTATGACCTCATCTATACAATGCCATTATGGTTTTAAAGCATTGTGAAACAATTCTGATTCATAATAAAGTTTACAGCTAATTCCCCTAGTAACCAACTTCGAAAAGTGAGGTTATACTTTATTAGGGTCTATTTTATACCTGTAGGGTCCCATAGGTATACATTATTTATGTAAGTAATTGAAATGATTTTTAAAGTGTCCTTATTATTTACAAACATTATAATTAGGTACTTATATCATTTGTTTATTCATCATATGAAATTCATAACTTTTACTAATACTACGACGGAACTTATTATGAAAGAAAGTGCTAACTCTCTGAGAAGAACTGGTGAACCTTTGCCATTAGTATATTTTCCTCGTTACACAATTATTTTTTTACTAAATTTAAGCTGCTTTCAAATATAATTCGACATCCATACTAATATTATAAATGTGAAAGTGTGTTTGTTTGTCCTTCTTTCACGTCGAAACGGAGAGACGGATTGGCGTGATTTTAGTGTGGAGGGATGGAGAGTGACATAGGCTATTTTTTACCGCGCGAGATTATCTAATTCCTACGGGGAAACATGTAATATAATCTAAAAAAATAATTATAATCAGAATTACTTGAAAATTGGTATTAATGATCTTCAATAAAATTAAATAAATATGTGTTTAAGCATATTTCGAAATTCAAACTATAAGGGGATAAAATAGGGAATGAAAGTTTGTGTAAAACTACCTACTTAGCAATTTTTTTGTAGTTTTAGAGCGAGCGAAGCCGCGGGTTCAACTTGTACCTATATAAATAGATAAATGTTATTACTATGTGTTAGAAAAATTACTGAATTGATTCATGCCTACAAAAATTTTAATCATGTTATTTTACTTGTAGCAGCCAGTGAATAACTAGGCATCTATGTATACATTTCATTTATTAAAGCTGTTCTGATACGTAAAAGCTATTTCCCACGCTAACTTTGGTATCCATTACTAACCCCATAGATGTTTATTAGAGGTTGAATTTCTAAAAGACCTTTTTAGGTACTTACAAACCTTAGAATACTCATTGAATGAACGTTGCGTTCTACCATAAAATTCATAAGCCTGGCACTTTCATTAAATAGCTTTCCTTTATAATAAGTAAAATATATTTCCTTTATAAAAAGTGAAAAACAAAAACAAATCTATCCCTCGGGAACCGTACATTTTTCCGGAATAAAAAGTAACCTATGTGCTATTCCAGACTATAATCTAACTCTGTCCTAAACTTCATCCCGATCTGTTCAGTCGTTCTGGCATGATTGAGTAATAAACATCCATCTATCG